AATTGCGAGACTTCAAAGGAGGTATGAGATAGTCTTATGGTTTCACTTAACGGAACTATAATGGTCAAGATGTCCTGTCTTTAAAGTTGCGCCTCACAATTTGAGATGTTGAAGATGCAACAAGAAGAAACTTTTGGAGATTTTTATAAGATATTGTTAATTCTTCTTTTGTATTAGGTACCAATGTAACACCCCAACTCGGGGTACAATATCTGTCACCTAAAAAAAAAACTCAACAATGACCATATATCCCTGCCACTTTTCCATACAACTTACTTTATATAAATACAAGCTCATAAAAAATTCACCAAACCCCTTAGTGGAATGGCTTGCCATGAGCCCTACTTATTTACAGACCATAATATTGATCTCAAAGCTATTACATATAAAAATACAAAAATATCCCCATGATGACATCTCAATCTACCCTTTAGACTTGGCAATGGACTCCTCATGACTTTATAGATTTTCCTACTTCACCTCATCCATGTTGTTCACATGCATTACACAGACATAACGTGTATATACCACATCGAAAAAAATATACAACATAGATATTTACTTTCACATGATTAAATTATGCCACACACAATGAATACCCCACACACACACACAAACGTTAAATGCCCCTGTAACCAACAACCGCCACACAGACTATATTTAGTTACGCCGATTCTTATGCCACATAGGCAAAATCCTCCACCCAAGCGAACAACTGTCACATAAACATAATATGTCACACAGGCAACATCTATCATATAGGCTATAACAAATAACTCTCACACAGTTAAAATAAGTCATGCAGGCAACATGTATCACAACATAGATATCATTTGCAACTCGGACAACCCAAACCACTTTAATAGTTTATGTCATTCAGACAACCCACATCACACAGAGAGTTTTTGATCATGTCACTTAGACAACTCAACCGCATAATCAAAATCCTTCATGTAGGGGACTCAAGCCAAATAAATAGTTCACGTTACTTTGATGACCCAAATCACCTAATCCACTCTCATCGCATAAACGACTCTTGTAACACTACAGTATGTCTCTGCTCAATTAATTATTCCCAAAAATAACCATAGCAAAAAACAAAAACATGTATAAAAGTCTAATATATTATCATGGAAAGTTATAGGGTGGTGCACATACCTCACGTGAAGTTCTATCTCGTAGACGACCATTTTTTGCTAGAGCTTTTAGTGCGGTGTTTGTCTCTAGACTTGGCATACCCTATATTCATAATTATATTCGAACGTTAATACATAATACCACTTAATTTGAAGATAGTTTCTTCGAACCGAGCTTAATAATTATATCACGTCAAAAAATAAGTCATTTTCGTAGAGTAAAATTGTTTACTCGAATCGAGTTGAGCTAGTCTTCTTGAATTCTTTAAGGAAATATTTATTCGTACCAATTACACCCAAATTAAACATTTCTCTTCAAGAACATGTCATAATATTTCTAAATTATCCACTAGACTATTATATCTCTTGATCAAAATTCAACCCACATACAATAAGTCTTCCTATTTTCCCATCCGACAACACCTTATGCTCACACACCCACCTAAACATTATATTAATTTTTCCAAGCAATACCCATGATACCACACTTCCATAATGACCTTTACATTAAACCCACATGTAATACCCCATTCTTGGATTACATGTAATACCCAAAATACATAGACTAATAATTTTTATATATATAGTTAAAATAAGAAAAGGTAGATTACATGGCTTACCTCTTATACCCAGTTCCTACACCACCAATCTTCCACTTTTAAGCCACTATCATGCTCCACCAATATTCCTAAGTGTGAGTGAAGAGTCTTGTTTATTTTTCTTTGTTTTGTTTTCTTTCTTTCCTTTCCGATTCTTTCATTTCCTTCCTCTTCCTTTTGTTTAGCCGAAATTGGCTAAGTGTGTGGAGGCTCCTCTTCTTGTTTTTTTTTTCTTTTTTTTTTAATCTTATCCTCCCTTTTATATTACCCCCCACATGAATGTTCCTCACTCCCTCTCCCTCCTTTGCCGCCACTTCCCTTCCCCCCTCTAAACCCCATCCACACATCTCCTTTAAATGTAGTGCCCATCATTACTTAATGTGTGTGTGTGTGTATATATATATATATATATATATATATATATATATATATATATATATATATTCAAATTAGCAGAAACCCTTGTACCCCACCCCACTTCTTGTATACACTAACATATATATTTGTAGCAATATATTAATAGCGCATGCTTACCACATACTTATTTTCACATATTCATAATATTAAAATGTCTCATGCATGCTCGGGTTTCACATGATAGCTCACTTTTTAATCACCAAACTAAAATTACTATTCTCATAAAATTAACCTACATACCCCTATATATTTTGTTTTCAAGTTTTTAACCCGTGATTAAAAATTTATCATCGGGTCCCATACTTATTCCTTTGTCATTCAAACTATTTCAATGTTAAATCTAATGACTAAAATAATTACTCACATTTAAAACCCCAACACAAAATAAAATGCCAAATTAGTTTGTTCGGATCTCACAACAAAAATTGACGATGCCATGATTAAACTGAAAATGTTGAGATCTTTACCAGAGATATTTCATGCCAAGGTAACCTCATTCGAGATGAGTGTCAATATGTCCACGTTGTCGGTTGAGGACCTAGGAGGGTCAATTTTGGCTTTCGAGATGAACCTTCTTCCACACAAGAAAGTGAAGTGTGTTGCATTAAATTCTAAGATCAAAGAAGGAGGTAAATCTGAGTCACCTTGGTTAGGAGAAGAGGACATAGCCTATCTTGCTTGAAAATTTAAAAAATATTTCAAGGCTAGTGGAGCCATGTCATCAAGGTCGAAAGGAAATTTGAATAGATCGAGATCTCATATAAAGGGAAAAGAAAGTGGAGGTAGAGCTTCTCGGCACAAGGTTGAGAAGAAGGGGCATGGTCTTCAATGCTACAAGGGTCTAGGGTTTGTGTTAGTAGTATGCTCTAAGACCAATCATACAGATGATGTTTTAGAGATGTACTAGCAACATTGATTACTTAACTAAATAAAAGAGCAAGTTTATTTATCATGTTTCTACATTATTTCATTTTAATATACATGATATAGTCCATAGAGTATAAGTTAAGAAGATAGTTTCTCAAGGTGTTGAGAAGAGGAGACCTATACTTCTTAGTACTTAACTCTTAAATGTTCCTAGTCATAGGATTATTATTTGGGCACTACATAATCCGGATAGACTAGCACAAACTTTGTTTACTCATATTTTATATGAGGTGATTCGTCCAAATCACTAGCGTTGGCACATTAAAGTAGGTGTGTGGGTGCTTGTTAGAGAACAAGTACACTAAACGTGACCATTGACTAACATAGGATTTTTCATATGGAGTTTTACATGTCTACCAATATTAAATCCTAAAGTTATAGTTATGCAACTGATCCTTAGACTTTAGACACCATGGTTGTCTCATGCATGGACTTCTATGCTTTAACTATACAACATATTCATATACTAATCATGTAACTTGGATATGTATTGTTGGACATAGTTAGACATGCATAAAGACTTATGAGTGTACAAAATAGAATCTATCATCCTTAGTAATTACAGGGAGAATGTATTATGTGATCTTCTAGGATATTATTCAAAGAGTCCTTGGCCAAGGTAGAATGACAATTAGAAAAGAGTTTATAATTGATCATTAAGATTTATATTCCTAAGATTGTACACATAAGATCGAATTACGGGTTTGACAATAATTCTATACCCTAGTACTGCAATTAGGGCATTGTGTGATAGAAGGATTGAATTGTATGGCAACTATAGACTAAATGGGTTCTTTACCTATTTCGTGCTATATGGAGGTTGATTATGATATGCTGCTAGGTGTCACTCATGATTAGTAGAAGCCCGAATAATGAATTAATATAAATATATTAATTATTCTTCATAAAGGGAGAATTATAAGAGTTCTAATTCAAGCTAAATTAGAAAGAGTTATAATTTGAGATGCTACTTGTAGTTAGTATCAAATACTTACAACTGGGTATGCTTGAACGTATAGGGTCACACACAATAGAATTGATTGGAAACTAAAGGATAAAAGAGAGACAACAAATTAAGAGTTAATTGGGGTGAAAATCTAATTATGATTAAATTAGGGACTTTATTACAATTAATGTTAATAGAGGGGTTATATGTAATTACGAGATAATTACAACTTGACCCAAACTAGGATTAGAGCCTTTAAAGCTCTATAAATACCTTTATGTAGGAGGTGGATAGAAAATATAACAACTCTCTTGCTAGCATACGAAGAACCACCCCTTATTCTCTCTCTCTACTAATTTATCAATGGTTGCAGTAGATCCTTCAAGTTTGTCAATTCGTGTGGATACCGATAGAGGCCAAACATTTTCAAGGCTTAAGGTAAAGATCAAATTCAGATTTGAAGATTTAAAGTTTTTGAGAATGCTTGAAGATTGCTAAAGGCATGATTCAAGAGGTAACCCTTAATCTTGTCTATAGATCTAAGGTTTCTCAATTTGTATTAAACATGAATAGATCTTGGTATGAGGAATCAAATTATTGTTTTAAATTCCGCTGCTTTTATTATATGATTCCTTTCAGTTTGTACATGTTGCTGCAGAATGTTCTAGTGCTAAAAAGAAGGACATGCCCATGGAGAAGAGGAAAGCTTTAAAAGGCCAAGGTGAGTGAAAGTGAAAGTGAGGCCAAGACTTATAGCCTTTGTAGGTTCACACCCCCCCCCCCCCCCAAAAAAAAAAAAAAACCTTCTAATAGTGAAGATGAGGAAGTTGAGTCTAGTCCCACTACAAATATAGATGATTTAGTGTTAGAAGTCTCTACTAGTGAGGATGAAACCGAGAGTATTGATGAAATATAGGATGCTTATAATGAGTTATACAATGAGTGTCTAAATTAAGGTGATAAGTTGCTTTCCAGGAGCACGAGGCTCAAAAGGAGTGAAGAGGAAAAGGAAGAACTTTATATGGACTTAGTTAAGTCTAGAGCTCATATTATTGGGCTAGTGGAGGAGAAGTGCCTCCACGACAAGGTGAGCTTCCTTGGGAGAGAACATAAAGGGCTTTTAGAGTCTAAGAATGGTCTTGAGTTTGAGATTCTCAAACTTAATAGAGACCTTCACGAATCACAATAGCTCTCAAAAAGACTTTCCCAAAGCACTAAAAAACTTGAAAAAATATTGTCTATAGGAAAAAGTGTTGGTGACAAAAGCGGATTAGGATTAGCAAATGAATACAACACCTCCACTTCTTCCATGATTGTGTTTGTGAACGTTGACCTCAACCCATCACCCCGCGAGTGAGCATAAATCCTAAAAAGATTAATAATGGCAAGGGTAAGCTTGAAAAGAAGCCAGCTAAGAAGAAACCTCAGTGTACATTGCATTCATAATAGTGAAGTGGTAGACAAAAAGCTCATACATCTAGCACACCAATCTAAAGCTTTGAACAATCAAGTTGTAAGTCTTTCTAAGCTTCTGGAAAGATCATGTGAGTCCAAGCGTAGTCATGCATCACCATCTAAATGACCAAAAGGTAGAGTGCATAAGGTTTCATCTACCCCCAAGGTCAAGATTGATCTACGTACATCCAAGGAGAAGAAAGCTATTCCTTTACTCATTCCCCGACCTAACCCAAGTTTTAGGAAGGGAAAACAAGTATGTAAGTGTGACACCCCAAAATCCAGGGGTCCGTTGATTACCCAACAACCCGAAAAATACCTGTGGCTACTGAGTAATTCGATATTACGCCATTATACTCCATTTATCGAGAACTATAATTTTGACAAAATTCGGGCAGAGTCTCCTTTGTACGGGAAGTTCTACCCAAAACTCAATCAGTGCAATCATATAATAACAAAACCCATCCGAGGTCCAATATTCAACAATGACCATACCGGGTCCGATTATAAGTAAACATTGGCCAAACCGGGTCTAATTATCCATATTTATATCAAAACATGCAAGGTTAGTTCAACAATAGTCTATATAGGTTCTATTACAATTATTTGCAAAAGATTACATGCCCAAAACATTATTTTCACAAATGTTTTACATTAACACAAAATAAAGCCACATACGGCTTTCTTCAAACATGAGAGTCCAAAGTGGAGCCATCCACCGGTGTATCTCTCCCACCTGAAATGTTTTCCCGTCTAGGGTGAGCCAACGCATAATAGAATAATTCCTACAGAGGCTGCTCTCCACCTTAAGTGCATATGTGGTGTTTATAAGCAACAAACAACATTTAACAATCATTCCATACAAGAATATGCATTAAATGTGGAATGTAATCATGTCATACCATGAAATGAGATGATACTCACTCATGCACTTAAACCCAAGTCATCACCGACTCCCACGACACAATGCAATGCCAAGGTATACTGAATCCGTCAATTGACGAAAAAATCCACCCAATGATCGTTTGAAATAAAAATTATTTTATTATAAAACCAAATCATTGATGGGTGTTACTCATTGTATGAGTACTTTATAAATCAAAATCTTGTGTCTTGTTGGGCAACGGATTTTGGATTTTATACCGTCGGTTCCGTACACCATACTATACTTTTTTGGAATTTCAACACACAGGACTGTATAACCAAGTCGTCGGGTCTTGCACCCGAGGGGGGAATCTACCTCTTCTTGCTATACCCGACACAAGTTTTTCTTTCATGCAACCATGTGACTCATTCGGATTTTCAACCCAACTTTCCGAGTCCACCCATCAATCACCAAGAATGGTGTTTGATTAACCATGCATACACACACCCACACTCATGACTCATGCCCATGAATGTGATGTCATGTTTCCGTGCATATGCAATGTGATGCACCATTGCACAACAACATAATGTTCAATATGCTATGAATGACATATGAATAATTTCCAACACATCCATGGTAAATTATATCCTAAGCATATAAATACCATATTTGTCACAATGTCAATATATATCAAAACATGCATATATCAACAAGTACATTTCAATCATAAATCATATCATAAGCATATGATTTTACATTACCACATTATCCAATCATGTTATAGCATAATCTCATGCAATTAACACACTTTATTTCACAAAGGCATTTTATCAAACACCTTAAAGGCACTCAAGTCATATATTCACATAACCATTCCAAGTAACCACATAGCTGAAGAAACAAAACCACTTCAAGATAGAATGTATATTCCATCCATTTCTCATATCCACCAAAACACCAACCTCATGCAAAGGTTATACAACCCCACATGCTTAAACCCCTCTCCTATGAACACCATAGGTTAGAATGAACCAAGATAGGAAAACCCTGTCTCTTGAAGCGTAAATGAATACTAGAACCTCCAAGAATACCCCCAAAAGGTCAAGACTTTGATTTCTCTAAAATCTCACCTTTTAATTTTCGGTGAAAATCTTAGTTCTTAGTACCCATGCGTAGCCCTCATCGCATAGAGCAACTTTAATTCTTGACTCGAGCGATTACGACCGACAGATCTTTGGGAAATCGAAGGAGAAGGCTTAAGATTTTTGGTTTTTCCCTCTTTGCTCTCTTTTCTCTCTTAATCTCTGATACAGCCGGCCATAGGGGAGGAAAAATGTGAAAAACTTGACTATCTCAGAATTCGACAAAATTTGTCTAGGTAACTAGATTTTACCGGATGAATCCAACAGTGAGGTCCGTTTCATTATCCGAGGTCTAGAAAAATATCAATTTTCAACCCGTACTATAATGTCAAATTATCATTTTGCCCATTTTTTTTTATAAAAAGTTCAAATTTTTCCCGGGTTTCACATTCTTCCCCCCTTAAAAAAAATTTTGTCCCCGAAATTCACATACACATGCACATACAGTCACCTTCATATGCAACTGTCAAAATAATGCTAAAAGACTATAAGAATGTACCTCCATTCTCAAATAAGAAATGATAATTGGTACGGATGGTGTCCTCCCGCTCCCATGTCGCCTCCTCTACTCCTCGGTGCTGCCATAACACCTTCACTAGCTGCACGGTCTTGCCTCGTAAAACCTGTTCCCGGCTATCCATGATGCCCACCGGTCCCTCCTCGAAGGTCCCATCAGCATCAACAACAAGCTCTCTCCAATCCACCACATAAGTTGGATCCGGGGTGTATTTTCGAAGCATAAAGACATGAAAAACCGCATGGATACCCGATAAATTTGGCGATAATGCCAACCGGTAAGCCACTACACCCACCCTCTCGAGTACCTCAAAAGGCTTGATATACCTCAGCGACAACTTTCTCTGCTTAGCAAACTAGAGCACTCCTCTCCTAGGCATCACCTTCAAGAAGACATGATCTCCCACCTCAAACTCCAGAGGTCACCGCCATCTGTCGGTGTAGCCCTTCTGTCGACTTTGAGCCATGAGAAGACATTTTCGTATCAGATCCACTTTCTCAGAGGTGTCCCTAACCAAATTCGGACCCAGAGAGGATCTCTCTCCCACCTTCATCCAACAAATCGGAGAATCGTATGGCCTCCCATATAATGCCTCATAGGGTGCCATCTGTATGCTCACCTTGTAACTGTTATTGTATGCGAACTCTACCAAGGGTAAGTGATCTTCCCAGTTACCCTTGAGATTTAGGACGCTTGAGGACGCTTGCCCATAGCATGTCCTCTAAAGTCTGGATAGTCGTCTCAGACTGACCGTCCGTCTGGGGATGAAAAGCAGTGCACATCATTAACTGTGTCCCCATGGCTCGTTGGAAACTCTCCCAAAAATGAGCCGTAAACTTGGGATCCCGATTTGATACAATAGATATGGGCACTCCATGCAGCCGGTTATTCTCCCGTGTATACAACCTGCAGAATTCCTCTAGTGTGAAGGTCATTCGCACTGCTAAAAAGTGTGCCAACTTGGTAAGCCAGTCCGCTTCCACCTACACCGCATTATGACCCCATGATGTCCGTGGCAAGTGAGTCACAAAATCCATCATGACGTGTTCTCACATCCATTCAGCTACCTCCAAAGGTTGGAGTAAGCCCGCTGGTCTTTGGTGCTCAGCCTTAACCTTCTGACACGTGAGACATCGGCTAACAAAATTTTCAACATTTTTCTTCATCCCACTCCAATAATATTGGCAACAAAGATCATGGTACATCATTGTGCCACTTAGATGCACATCAAAATGGGAACAATAGAACTCTCTAAGAATCTCTTCTCTCAGCTCCACTGACTAGGGAACCATAATTCTTCCCCTAAACCGAAGACTACCATCCGAGTGAATGGCCCAGCCCTCGTCACCTATTTCTAACCGTACTCGGTCCTTGATGGATGATAGCTTTGTGTCCTAACTTTGGGACTCAATCACCCTGCTCAGTAGAGACGGCGTAGCCACCATACTCCCCAAAGTATCCTGAGCCTGACCCATATAACATAGCCCGAACTGTCCCACAGCCTCGAGCATCTGCCACTCTCGCGAAGCCATAAAAGCCACAACTCCCCGTGACTTTTGGCTGAGTACATCAGCCACCACATTTGCTTTACTAGGATGGTAATGCAAAGTGAAGTCATAATCTTCAAGGAACTCCGTCCACCTGCGTTGCCTCATGTTGAGGTCCCGTTGTGTAAAAATGTACTTCAGAATCTTGTGGTCCGAAAACACTTCAAACTGCTCGCCATACAGGTAGTGACGCCAAGCCTTCAAGGCAAAGACAATGGCCGCGAACTCCATGTCATGTGTGGGGTAATTCTACTCGTAATTCTTTAGCTGCCGAGAACCATAAGCTACTACCCTCCCGGACTGCATCAAAACACATCCTAGCCCGTCCTTCGAGGCATCACAATAGACCCTGTACCTCTGTCCCCGTTCTGGAACTATCAAAATAGGAGCCGAAGTAAGCCTCCTCTTCAACTAATGGAATGCATTCTCACAAGAATCATTCCACACAAACTTGACCTTTTTCTAGGTCAACTTCGTCATAGGCGCAACCATTCGGAAGAAATCCTCAATAAACCACCGGTAGTATCCCGCCAATCCTAAGAAACTACGTATCTCAAAGACTGACTTCGGTCTCTCCCAATTCATAACTGCCTCAACCTTCTCCGAGTCCACAAATACACCTGAAGCCGACACTACATGCCCCAAAAACTTTACCTCTGT